GGAGCCTGAAAAGTACAGTTTTTTCCTGTTCACACCGCAGCGGCGCCGCGTCTTAGCTCCGGAATCCGGTTCACTTCCAGCTCCAAAAATGTGTCGGTCTAGAGGCAAGAGCTTCGGAGCTAAGAGGCGGCGTCGCTTACTTCGGGGCGTGCAGGAAACTAAACCCACCTCCCCTGAACATGGGTCGACTGAAGAGTGTCGTCATGCCTGCCTACAAGCAGTAGTGTTGAGCAAAGTGACTAGAAGGCAACCACACACTTGTAAAAAAAACACACTTTATAAAGTCAGGCAACACTAACCAGGCTTCGTGTGATTCTGTTTATTTGTACCTTACTTTGACCACCCGTTCACTGTTATTGATCATTGTGGAGAGCAGGCAGACGTTTTGTTTTGTATTATAGCAGCTATCGGATGGAATCAATACATGGGCTGCACAGGTTGTCATGTCCGACTATCACAAGTAGAATCATAATGAAAAATACGCCGGTAAAATGTGCCAGTAGAAAACGGCTTATGCCATAGCAATTTATAACAATTGGATAGCAACAAGTAGTCAGTTTACCTTCGGTTGCTATGCTAACATCACCCATTTTATACCAGAGACACTTTAATAACAGCGTTGTGATGCCAAACAGCATCAATTCAGACTCACACACATTCACTTAAGGGGAATTGGGGATATGTATCAGCTGCTTGTGTGACAGTCAGACAGTGAATACTTTAGAGAGGCCGCTCTAAAGTATTAGCTAACACGGAGCTAACGGGAGAATAAACTCCAGTGGACGAGCAGCACCGCAGCGGTCGGTAAATGCCGCTGAAACACATTAATAAACAATGATCCACGGCACTCTGGAGAAAACTATAAGCTTGGAGAAGTTTTTATTTTATTTAATCTGATTTCGTATGATTAAAAGCAACACGATCGTCGACACGACGAATTCCCTTGTTGTTGTTGTTGTTGTGAGCGCCGTTGGGGAGCAAATCAGCGACGGTGACGTCATGACGCAGCAGCGGCAGCACCAGTCGGGCTCTGGGCGGTGTGAACAGAGCGGGAGCAGAAAAGCGAAACCGGAGCTAAACCAGAAAAGCTCTAGCTCGGAGCTAGAAAGGGAAAAGCACTGGTGTGAAAGCCGCATTACTGTTTAACATTTTGGGTTACTTCATGTTACTTCATGTTAAGGCTAATCAAAATGACAAGGCTAAGACTGTAATGCTAACTAACGTGCTTGCTACTAGCTAGGTAGCTAACTTGATCCAGCCACTCCTGGTCCTTTCATCAGACGGGAAGCAAAAGAACGAGCAAGACCCATTGCTGGTATGATTACAGCCTAGTACTAAGCACACAGGCATCTTGTTAAAGTTATCTTATCTTAGCTATCTCTTATATTTAGTGGAGGAAAACAAGTGTGACATCAGATATGACATCACTTACGCGACTCTGGGATTTGTAGTTCTAGTTGCGTATTTTTCATAGTCTTATATTTCAACAGTTTTACGACAAACTGTGACTTTTTTGACATGGAAATAATTTTTTAAGATTGACAAACATCATATGTGTAATTCGTGGCACAATTTAAACGGGATCGAAAGATAAGTTTTCTCTCTGGATTGACTTCAATACATAGTTTTTCCGAAATAAGGTCCCATGGACCGGAAGTAGATGGGCGTGACTTCGCCACTCGGGGAAAAATAATGAAAGTATAAGCTGTCTTAAAAAAATCGAATAGAGTGAGTCGAAAAATTGAAAAAAAAAAAAAAGTTCATTGAACGCTTTGGATATTTGAAAAGTTCGACACAGAAACCCCCCACAAAGATAAACCCGATTGAAGCCCTGAATGTAAACACTAAGAAGCAGCTGAGAAAACAATGAGTCTGTGTCTGGTTAGATCGACCAGCTAATCATGTGATTCATTAATTCACTAACACTCACACACATAGCTAGTGTGTGCAAATACTCATACAGGAATATATCACCCAAGCCACAATAGACACAATAGTGGGACATTTATCCACTAAATAAAACTTAGAAGTGGAACCCAATATATTTTAATATTTATTATTATTATTTTTTTGTTATGTAGAGAGGGAAGGCTTTAGGGGAGAAAACCCAAAACAATACAGAAATTAGAGCATTTGTTTCCTGCTGTGTTTGTTTTTGTGAAAATCTGCATCCTGACGTCACCTTTGCTTATCATAGGACTCACATAAACACATAAAGATCAGAGAAAGGCTTACAGTGTTGTTTATGTGTGTGTGTGTGTGTGTGTGTGTGTGTGTGTGTGTGTGTGTGCCACCTCTTGGCCATGACAGCCTGAGGATGTTGACCACTAGCCTCCAGAGCAAGTGACCTGATTGGTCAACCATTATCTCTCCAGCTGTGTTATTTTATTTATTTTCAACTGAAGATGTCATGTTTGTTTTGTATTATTGCGGCACTGTTTTGATGTTTACATGAGAAACATTCAGATTTATCAGCTTGACTTTATGTCCTTACTTCTCTTTCACTAGCATAAACGGTAATCCTGCTGGGTTTGTGTCATTTTAACATCTCAGGTTGATGCTGACTCACCTCAGCCACAGATTTACAAATCACTGAAGCATAATAGTCATTGTCTCACAGAACAGGAAACAATGCAGAGAAAGAAAGCAAATGTCTTTCATTAATCAAAGACAACAACACATGGGACACAGAATAGTATGTTTATTGTTTCAATACATTAAACATCATATGAAAAGACTGTCAATCCCCTTATCTTATTATTTTTCTTGCATTCCTGATCTCCTTGTCTACATGACACAGGTTTACACTGATGCTGGTCGACCCAAATATGCAAATGCTGCACACACACACACAGAACATTTTGCATGGCGAATGCAGGAGTTGCGGCTCATTAGCATTTCATAGCTTCACATAACTTAATGAGCTTGGTGTTCTTCAACAGAGCACAGGTGTTACTCATTACAAATAGTTCAGCTCCACTGGATTGTGGGTATAAGTGATTTAGCATGTAAAATACAACACGTAAAGCTGAATGGATTTTACCCCTTATTGTTTTAATAATTACACCTTTGGTTTTCCTGTAATGACTGTCAGAGAAATAGATGGATGTTAGAAGGCACTTGCTGCAGTAAGTGAACTTTGCATACACTAGGGCTATTCTGAAAATACCTCGAGCCAACACAACAGAAAAATCCTTTAAAACACATCTTTATGATTACCGCTTATTTCCCTTTTTTTCTTTTTGCCATGCTAGCTCCACCATGAGGTTGACATTTTTGTTTTTTATTTAAATATTATACTTTTCATTTAGCACCAGGTCAATATTTTAATTGATTTTTTAAAATGTTTTCCTTCGTTTTATGATATTTGCAAAAATAATCACCTTCCTATGCACCACACAATAAGCAAAGGTTAGCATGCTCTACATTAACTAGCATGCTGGACAGAGCCGACTCTTAGTGTTGTATCTTACTATTCTATTTGACTAAATACATCTATTTTTCTTTTACTGTTAACACTTATATTGTTATAATCACGTATATTGCATCTTTTTCAAGCTAGGGTGCCCTCGTACATCACAACTTGATCCTCAGTTCACATTATTTTTGAACAAGTTAGTAACAAAACATTTTCACATTTCTGAATGCACTAACGCTGCAGAGACGAGAGGGCACAATCATAATACATTTAGTAACAAATCAACATTTACAGTACTTTTTTCACAGTGTTTTAAAATATATAATCTTTGCTAGACTTCATCTAAACATCATCTAAAAGTCATTTTGGGGTAAAATGAGTGGCAAAAATATGAATCCCCTTAAGTTGCGTTAGAGTCCAGAGATGATGAAGCTTCCCAGCAAAATGATTTGAAGCAGAGACAAAGCTGAGCTGAGGGGAAGCCCGGCCGTCCCCGCGAGGAGTTTGGCATCTTTGGACACGGACACTTTGCGTCCGAAGGTGGAGTGGATGTGTCTGAAGTTTCTCTGCAGAGGCGTCACCTGCTCTGCATCCTCCTCTGTGGAGAAGATCTGTGAGGTAAACTGAGCCAGCTGAGGAAGAAAGATAAAGGATAACTTACAGCACTCAGGGAACCATTTAGATGTTTGTTTTTCAGATGAAGACTCAAGAGACCTACTTGGGACCGTGAGATGTAGACGGGGACTTCATACAGAGTCCACACCACCACCTGAGAGCAGGGGGGCGTGGTGAGGCTGCCATAGTAACGGTAATACTGACTCATGTTGTGCTTCGGCAGCAGGTTCATCAGCGGGAACGGCTTGATTTTAGTCGTCTGGCCTTGGGGGAGGATGCAAAGATGTGATGAGAACACGAGTTATAAACAAAACAAACAGCAGGCTGGAGAGGGTTTTCTAAAGGGACCTCTGACCTTTGTAAGCGACAGACGACAGCTTTTGTGATATGAGTCCAAAGTGCACATTGTCTGCATAGACAACCTGCAAGAAAGGGAAGACAAATCAGGATGTGTGTGTACGTACAAAAAAAAAATGTCTGGACAGATATTAGTTACCCCCCAAATATAGTCAAATAAAATTGTCTAATGTTATTATTATGTTTAATGTCTAATTATTATGTTGATTAATTGAAACTAATGGCATCCAATTATTTTTAACAAATACTGTTAACTCGGTTATATTCAAAAATAGGTATTGTAAACTTTAAAGCTATACACAAGACTGATGACAAACTTTCGTAAAAAGTTCTTAAATATAACATGAATTAAAATAATATTTTAAATATTCTACATTTAGGTTTGTCTGGATGTAACTTCTTTGCATTCAACAACATTTGGATGAGTAATTTTTATTAAATTATATGTTATATTTCAGTAGCTGTAGCTGTCAGAAACACCTTAAAACTGCTTTAAAATACTTTACAACAAGTGTATTAAACTCACATCAATGAAGAATCCAAGCACAGCGAGTCCTGTTGGATCGTCTAATGCCGCCGTCAGATTGGGATGGATGGACTTCATGTTGACTATGTGCATCTAAAGTAAAAAACAACAACAACAAAAAGTCATTAAGAAAAGGCTGCACAGCAACAGTTGTTTTGTGACGGTGTAGAGCTCGTCTACTGACCGTACTGTACCTCCATCGGGTATCTGCGTCCGTCCACCGTGTGCTCCGATCCGTTGGAGGCCGGGCCCCCCCAGTGGAAGTGCAGCTGGATGGTCTGGTACACATCTGGAAGACCTCCACCGCTCACTGACATGCCACCGCCAACCTCCATCACCACTGAGAGCAACCAGAAACATGCCATCACCAACTGAGTATATACACATGGTTAAATCTTGAGAGGATGCGTGGTGTGTTCAGGGAAGGGCAATATGAGGGAAATGAAATATGACATTATTTTTTGACCAATTAAATCTATTGATATTGCGAGTTTAACCCTTGATGCTTTCACAAAATAGTTACACATTGAGATTTTTGATTAATGACCAGCAGTAATGTTGATTTAATGATTAAAGCAGGTAAACACAAATAACTGAAGAGCTGAAACAGTCTGGTAAGTTCAGAAAAATACAACACTTTACAGTAATGCAGCAAAAGACTACACTTACAGTATTACAGAATCTAAAACAATTTCTAGTCTCATATCAAAATAATAATATAATATTGATATATTTCCAAGACATAAGACATTTACCAGAGTGTCCATCGTTTTTAAGTGTCCAGTGGCCCGTTTGGATCTCATCGAAGCCCTCCAGATGGAGATACTCCAGAGACTGGTTTCTGGTCATCTGGTGGTCCAGGTTGATGGGAGAGTGGAGCTCTTCAAGCAAAGGGTGACACGACGGGTACATGTCTCCCCATGCATAAGGATCTGGGATGGTGAAGAAGGCACATACGAACCGAATACAGAAATGAAAGATCGAACAGAAAATCTTTTAGATACATTAGTGGTCTCCAAGTGGACATCTAGAGGATTTATGTGAGGAAAGACGATCAGTAATGAATCTGAAAGTTTATTTTTGTTCTGGAGATTTTTATCAAATCACATTTTTTTTATTTTTTTTTTTTATAAATCATCCTTAACAGATACAAGATTACATTTTTTTTCCTATATTTTCTTAAAGGTTTAAGACTGAGATTAAGTTTAAGCTTGGGAAACTGTCAACACTTAATCGAGATTTTGAGAAGACAATGCGATTTGAGCGCTTACCAATAAGAACAGCTAAAAAGTCATACAAAAATAAAGTCAACCTTATATTGTCCTAATTTGAATAATGTCTCCTATTGGACAGTACATTTATCACCAACAAGTGGGAACATGAGATAGAGAGATGAATAAGAGAGCATATTATATCCGATCTGTGGTCTGAAAAAAAAGAATAAAGGTTACTTACCACACTGAGGCTCATCGTAGCAGTAGTCTTCTGGAAATTACAAAAAGCTAAATGTTGACAAACGTAATTTTCCTTTAGATTTTTTTTAAATGGCAGTAAATAAATGTAGTCTCTCACTGAGATGTAAGCAGGACCCTCACCTGAGTTAACGAGTGGAACGACAATAAAGAAGAGAGCCGCTGCCCAAACCATTTTAAGAGCCGCAGCCCGAGGACTTCAGAGGGACAGGTGCTGATCTGAGGTAGGCTGAGGATCAGAGCCGCGTCCTGCTTAAGTAGGAGGTGAAAGCTGAGTTTGATTTTGTCCTGGTGTGATCAGTGAAGCGTGTCATTACCAGTCCAGTGGTCTTTTCTGATCAACAGGCTCATTGATGCAGCACAGCTTCACCCCCCGGACCCCCCCCCCCCTGCTGCCACTGCTGCCAGCATAGATGCCCAGTGACCAGTAACAAGAGCCATTCATCGCATGGGAAAGTCAGCTGAATTAGAAGAGGGCAGAATATACACAGCGCCATATAAGGATGCTGTAGAGATACATGAGCTGTATCTCTCTCAATACGTAAACAAATAAACAAACATTCACGTTTTATAAGAAAGAAATCCTCCCATCACTGTTTCAAATAAAATGTTATACATCTTTAAGTCTCCCTTTTTTATTCTAGTATTGTCCAGCACCATAAGAGAGCACATATTGAAAGAGGCTGTAGAAATGTACACTCAAAAGAAGAAACAATTATTAGGAAACATTTAGTTCAGAGAAAGAAAACTCCTATCGGTGTGTGAGATTACATCTTATAAATGTCTGATTTTCTTCCTTTGATTTATTCAAATGTTTTCACGTTGAAAATGAGAATATACTGTTATGGCTTCATATAAGGAGGCGGTAGAAATGTACCAACTGTAAATACCTCTATCTCAAAAAAAGTTTAAAATATATATATTCTTTTTAAATAGAAAAAACGTATCACTGTGTGAAAAAAAAAACACTTTGTAATCTTTTTAAGTTTCCCATTTGATTCCAGTATTGTGTACCAGATTAAGATGCAGGTCAAGGAAATCCTATTTATTTCTAATATAAATACTTAATCTGTTAGTAAAGTTGATTAAAGAGGGATATTATCCAAACGTTATCACATAAGTGTCTTGAAAATAAAACCTGAAATGATTGTACCTGTTCGAAATATAATGAATCATGAAGCACATCAAAATGAAGCTTTAGTTGCCAGGTACTCTCCTCCAGTCGGAGTGTGATAGGTCTTTAAGTGGATGTAACATTTCAATCATCATCCTGACTGAGCAGCGCCTCTTCCTGCACGAATAGATTATGTGATTCTGTCACTACTTGTCCCGTGTGAACAAAGCCTCTTTTCTTCACCCACAATGCTCTGCAGCGGGGTATCGCTATCCCCGCTCCGCCTGCTGCCTCGTGAGTCACTGTATATCCACTTTCTTTAAATTATTTGACTCTTTTGATTACCCTGGATTGGATTGGATCCCACCAACCTCCATCCTATAAAAAGGGGGAATTCCCCACATCCCACCTTAATCCTCTGTGACATTTTGTCCCTGCAGGAGTCTCCAAAACTAAATGTCGTGATTGATGAGGCTCAACACAAGAGTTCAGACGACGCCGAGTTCATACCCACTGACGCATGAATCGTCCTTCATGGTGCAATTTATTTGGCATTTGATTAGATGTACATCTACCTCATAAAAACACAAGCCGCACCCTGCAACGTAAGCATGTTTAAGATTTGAAGGCTTTGAAAGAAAAGACAATGAAAGAAGCATTTGTTGTATTATACAGAAAAACATTTGAAAATTCATTAAGATTATTTCTCACACCTGAAACTACAGTGTAAATGCAGCTGTTTGGGTCACGGGCGGGTTTATGATGCACATAGATTTTAAACTATATGCCAGAATTATTTGAACCTACAGTACAGGACAGAGAGTTAAAATGCTTCCATTCAAAAAAAAAAAAAAAAGAAATGCCCTCAGCATGCCAAAAGATTAAAAACATGCACCAAGCTTCAAAAAGCAGGTTGTAAAATAAAACAAAACAAACCTGATGAAAACAAAAACACCATCTTCAACACACACATGCTTTTTTTTCTTACAATTTTGTTTCTTGGATAATCCACTGTGGATTGTCAATGTAAAATAAGAAAAATGGGGTAAAAGCTTTAGAACAAAAATAATGTTTTATACAGACATTCACACACACAGTCATTCACACACACATTACAGCTGGTGTTCTTCATGAGGCAGATCTAAAGCGGTTTGAATGCTGCTGGTTGTGGGTCTGATCTAACTTTAGGCTTTGTAAAATTCATCCTTGAGTGAATCAAACGATTGTCGTCATAAAAGGGGTCGAGCAAGTTCCAAATATACGAGATTTGCTTTTATTACAACCTTTTTTTTTTTTTTACTGCGATCCCACTGAGAAACAAGGACGGTAACAGACCCATCTACACCAAACAGAAAGGACTCAGAGCAGTGATCTTCGTCAGGAGCTGGAAACATCCTCAATGAGTGAGATGTTGAAGAACCACACGTACAAACACATCAGGAATGGAGGGGCAGCATCCAAATGTGACAACCAACACATTTCTTTGCGAAAACAAAAACCCTGATTAAATTGAGGGGTGAGCGTGCAGAACATTGAGCTTTGAACTAAACATGGTTCAGTTAGCAAATACACAACTATGCTGCCAAGAGTTGAGGACAAAGGAAACACAATGGGACCTCTGCGTGATTAAACCACTTCATGATTGCGACAGTTATCTTAAATAAATTGATTCTTAAATTTAACGCTGGGAAATCATCCCTAATCTTCACACGGATACTTGAAAAGCTTCGTCGCTGCTGACTGATCAGTCCAACCCACAATAAAAACAATCAATTTTACAGCCTGCCGTCATAATTTATCAACAAAATAAACACAACAACTCATAATTATCAGTACCACGACATTCCTTGATACATTACGCCTCGTGTGAGCGTTTCCTAATAAAAACCTCATATAGCTGGAAACTAACTGTACTTTCTGGAACGTTTCAACCTCTGGATTACAAAACTGTTGCTGCAAATGTGTGCTATAAACCTGGAAGACAGCTTCATGTATCAGACTGATAAGAACGTGAGGTGAGAGGAGGTTTCCTATGGAGCGAGTAGAAATCGAGATCTGCCGCGGCAGACGGGGCGGATGGGAACATTATTGTAGTCTGGAGAGCGACAGATCAACACAAATACGTCTGTAAGATGCAAACTGAAACGCAGAAGGAACATTAGCTGGCTTCTCTGTCACTCTTAAGCTTGTGCTGGACTGTGACACACACAGGTATAACAAATCTGAGCGGCACAGACCTGACGGGGTATTTACATCACGGCTTCTCTGAGATGTTTCAAAAGCTTAGCTCAGTCGTCGCTTAAAGTAAAAGTGGAGCCTTCTCGGCCTCTATGAAGTGTTTTTGTCTCTGTACACAAACAGGCCTCTCTGCTGCCTCAGTGTTTCCAAAAAAAAAAAAAATACACTTTGAAGGCAAACTGCAGAAGAGTCTTCAAAAAGAGGGCATCCTCGTACCTCAAAGAAAAAGGAGCTGATCCAAGACGTCTGTACAAACTTTAACTCTCCTCCCTGCAGTCAGCTTTTAAAAAAAACGTCCTCTCCCGGTGAGGAACACCCTCATGACCTTCCTCGACCCGCAGGAAATGTCCGTCCAGGGTCCTATACCACGGTGCTGAGGGAGGACACGCAGTCTGCGGGCCCCTGGCCGTCTGTGGGGGTGTCGGGCCCCACCAGGAGGGTGCTGCTATCTATGGAGTCCTCCCTCTCCTGACAGGGTGGCGCTGATTCTGGCACAGGGACAGGAGCGCTGGGGATGTCCGCCTGGAGCCCGTTTCCCATGGTGTTCATCTGGCTCGGTACCATGGAAACCCCGCTGCGTCCTGCACCAGGAGAAAGGAAATGAAGACAAGAGCCCAACTCTGTGTGTGATAGAGGCATGAATAAAAGGATCTGCGCCTACCAAGGTCGACGTAGAGGAGGCTGTCTGGGTTGATGGAGGCTTCGTACGGAGGGGGGGGGTCGTCTGGGTGCTGGATGTCGGGGTATTTGTAAGCTGCGTACGGAGGAGGAGGCTCTTGGAAATGGAAAGCGCCGCCCTCTCCATCATCGGACAGATGCAGGGGGGTGAGGCCGGTGCCGAAAGCATCCGGGCCGTAGTCGAAGCCCGGGACCCGCCTCCCAAGGTTGAAGTGGTGCACTGAGCAGAAAGAAACAGACAGGACGATGTTTAATCACCGCACTTCCAAGCATCCACAAATCAGCCTTTTAAAAAAGAAACCTTCATTTATGGCACAAATGTACAAAGCAAGGAAGAAGGAGAGGTGTTTAAGGGACAGACATTTTGTTCGTACAAGATGTTGCCGTTCGAATTGTTGCTCAAATTATAAATGACTGTTTACAAAGAGTGTTGGATCAATTTGAACCGGTCATGCCTTAAGAGGTTTACACCTTATTTCACTTTTTGGGGAAATATGGATTCTTAACTAATGCTTTGTGGAATGCAGCATTTGAAATCATATGAAACTATGCATGTGCGGCATCTTATTTAACATAGAATAATAATTAGGAAATTGCCTTTAAATAAAAATGACCTAAACATTTTGTTATTAGGGTGATGTGACTAATCTAACAATGCTCACAGTTTCCTCCAATCAGAGTTTCAATGCGTTCGCGTCTCCGCTGGCGGAGTCTGTGCACCATGAAGAGCAGCAGAGAGAGGATGAGGAAGGACGAGATGCAGCTGACGATCAGTCTCATGCCGCTCGCCATCGAGTCAAACAGACTGTTTCCATCTGGGGAAAAAGAGAAAAGAACGACAAAATCAGAGAATCACACAAAGAGAGCTCACAAGTGCTCCTGAGGAGGAGAAACACACAAAGGTTTCTGGCGGTGTTTCAAAATGAATTACTTCTTTTCATATATGAAGACAAAGACAAGTGACGTCTCATGTGTAAACTGAGTTCATTCAACATATTTGTAGTGACAGGACAATAGATGCCAATCGTTACTTAAAAACAGGCTAAATGGAAGTCACATGTTATCATAAAATGTTAAATAGTATGTTGAATATCAGGGTTCAAGGTTCAAGGCTTTTACAGTCATTAGTACATAGCTACAGTTCAGTTATGACAATGGCATTCTTAGGTCACAGGCTCCTCCAACAGTGCAACACAATAAAACAGATAATTTGTGCAAGTACATCAAATAAAATAGAATATAATAGAAATAGTGCAGAAGAGTCTATATACACAATATCTCTTGATAACAGTGCTAAAAACCCTCCAAAGCTGTATATCTGTGAGGAGCTCCTTGTGTTAACCTCCATGCCTTATGTCTCAAGCTGCCCATGCAGCAGCTGACACAGACTGTTCTCAGTCAGTACCTGGGTCCAGGCAGGTGAACTTGCAGCACTCTTTGGGGTCTTTGCGGAAGTGCTGGCAGCCCTGCGGACGCTCACACAGCGCCGCCACACACATCTCCGGCTCTCCGTCATGACACGTGCAGCTCAGACACGGGTCGTCCCCTTTAGGGGTGAAGTAGTATCCCTCGTTCACCACGTTGTCTTT